TTAGATTTCTCTATGTCAAATGATTGGTATGAGCAGGTCAGCTAGCGAAGCAGGCGTGGTATTCCTCAAGTACGGATCTGTTTTTAGAGTTTCCGAAAACTAATAGCTCCTAAACAAGATTAATCACAGGGCCACATTCTGTGGGATACTGCCCATGAACACTTCTGTCTTGATAGGGAATGAACAGGGAATCCATAGTGTTAACTAATAATGTATCGGTCCAAAACGTCCTCTGTGGAATGCTCCTAGTATCTTAGAAGAATTGAAGTAAAAAGTTAAACTTTTGGGAATATCGTTAAGCACCTTAGCGAATTCCTCTGGTCTAATGGCAAATTCCGCATTAAGGCCTGGTTCTGCTGACTATTCCTCGAAGATATTCGGACAGCAAGTGTGTAGCATTGTTGTCTCTGAAAAGAGTGATGCCAACAGTTTTGGAAAGCAGACAATGACACCTCCTCAGGAACGGCCGCCTCCAAATGAGTGTACGGTACAATAGAGAAACCAAAACAAGGAAGCGCTCGTTCTAGAACTCGTACCTCATACTTTTACCCTTAGATCAACATTCAGTTGTCTTCACTGCTGTAAAAGAGTATAGGGTCCTTAATTGGGTCACTAGATATTGAAACTTTGGTATTGATACCATTTTTGATGAAACCTTCTCTATCAAGACGACATAGCTGTCCCATTTATGTAACCCCTATTGATGTGTTGAAAAGAATTTCCCGGAAGTAGCTGTTCAGCGTATTTCAATGAATTTTCTGTAATTTTGTCAATATTTTCTATAATGATAACATCGCTAAGTAAGTAAGAATAGCGGAACAAATAGAAATGTTTCAATATTCCAGTATAACCAATTAGTCATCCAAAGAACTTGCAGAAACAATTTGATAGCAATTTTCTGGTCTATCCGATGATATGAGAATTCGGCGCTATTTCCCATTAATCATTTCCAAAACGAAACACAGCATATCTTTAAATGGAGGTATTCATTTTAAACTAGTAATTATCATTATTCAAATAGTTCTCTATAATTTCTTGGAACTGAAGCAGCTTAACGATTTCTGCCCTTTATTATACGTTTTTAAATCCAATGTTCAGTGATTTCTCATAGACCCTCTGTGTTTTTAGTTTTGTTTATTTTCATCGAGGAAACTAAAAAAAATTATTTGAGAAAGTGTAAAATGTTTTTAAATTACTCTTGTAATTTATCATCTACATCAAAGCGATAATTGAAATATTCTAACCGATTCAGAGTGCGCCATGCATTTGATTCCGGAACTTCAGAATGTAATACTTGTATATATTATATTATGCCTGTTCAATTCAATTTCTAGGTGTAGGCTCGCCGATGTGAAAGCGAACATTTTGCTGTTTCGGTCTCTACTTGAATGTTTATACTTTGTTTTATGTTTGTTTTTGTTCCNGGTCCAATCAGTGATTGAATTCCTTGAATCAATCATGATCATTCCATTCTGTGTAGGCCACAGGGATTCATGAAAAGATGAGTAGTTGCTGACGAGGAATAGACTTGTCATACTAGTATTCAATGCTGGTTTCGTTTCTCAGCATCTCTTTTGATAATTGTTTCCTTTGCCTTCAGGACTTATGAATTACCGTAGATTGTTTACCTGTTTATTGGTAAAGACGCTGAGGTGCACTTCAAAAAATAGAGAGAATGGGAGAGTGGATGCAACTGAATAATTACAGGCAGGAGTCAATGAAACAAAATGAACGATTTACTATATTGGCTTACATCTCATCAGAATTACCCTCTTCTTGAGCGGATACTTATCAGTACCCTTCCCCAATCAAAAATTTTCCGCCCTCTAGAACTCCCACAGATAAAAACCTGTGTTATAGGAATCAAAAGTTGCAGATAAGTCCATCAAACTTGCAAGGCTGGATCTACTGGGAAGTCATTCTTAAATGGTGGAGGTTGCAGGTCTTTGGCCTTCTGGTCCTTCCAGTCTTCTTTCCGGTTCAATTTTGGGACGTCAGCCCGAATGGGATGGTGTCCTTGGCACTGCTAATTTTACCTCTTGAATGGTAAATTATAGTACGATACTAGAAGTTGTGAATAGAACTTGGAATAGACTCTTCTTTGTCCGTAAAACCACTTCCAGTAATTTTTGGACTGAAGTCCCTCTTTGAAATCATGCCATCTTAATTGTGCGGGGATCCTGACAGATCATCTTCGGAACGTTGATCTAACCGGGATGGCATCGTTTGATTACGTTAATTTCTACGACGACATTTAAAGTAGCCTGTTGTGTAAATACCTAATTCGTTTAGTGATTTCTCCCCAAATGATGTGAGAAATATGGCAGAAAACCTTGGCGCGCTCAATTAACCCACACTATGACCAGTTACCCGAGCGAGGCGGTCTCGCTACAGTTCTTTACGGACAGCTCACTGACATCACCGATTTTTATGACATACACCGTCTTCTCACTGGTTGAGAAGATAGGTATCGCTAGAAACACCGAGTAGCGCACTACCTTGCATGAAGCTAGGGATCAAATCCTGGGGCGTTGCCCGCCTAAGCCCAGTGTAAATTAGTCGGTGCTAGACACGTCTAGGATGGAAACAGCAACGGCGGAAAACACATTAACTCATCCGAGTAAACGCAAAACAAACCATTAAAAGTTTTCTTCAAAGTAACCAGTTCTTTGCAATTTTTTATTGCCTCTTCCAGCGGCAGCCGTGAGATCCCCCTTACCATTGCATAGGAAAGTTATTATAGAATCAAACCTCACACGATTCTCGTTGAATGTTCAATACGTAGCGCCGCTCGAAGTAGTCAGAAAAGATCACTTGTCAATATTGTGTCCACTTATTCGATAGAAGAATTGGACACAATATTGACAGATAGAGATACAGATAGAGTTCGGACAAAGTTTGATGCCCAGTGAATGCCCTTTGGCATCGTACTCGATAAGTACACCACTGAATTCTTGAGCGACTTGTTCCTCTTTGTGCTAATTAATTACCCGCTACTTAATTGATTTCTTGTGCAGTTATTCAGATGCTGTGCTCGGGAAGTGCACCTTTTACTTCTCAAAATGTGGGACCGAGCTTTTTACCCAATCTTTATTCGGCTGACGTTTCGGCGCTGAAACGTCAGCCGGTTAAAAATCTCGGTCGCACAGTTTAAAGACACAGTTCGCGATAAAAATGGTTCCTGAGATGAACCTGTGACCCTCAAAGATAGTACAAGGCGCTGTCGAAAAACGGCCTAGATAGGGCGTAATAACGGCCCTTTGTCGAGCACATCGGTGTTAGGGCCCTTATTATTCCCTATCTAACGAATGCCCCAACCTGGACAAGTTCTCACGGCGTTCTAATGGCAATAGAGGTAGCACCATCAACGTACACGTTTGTTGCAGGCAGCTTACTATAGCCCGCTGTACGCAATAGCGCACTCCTTCAGACAACTCGTCCAAATTACCCTTCCCTGATCTTTTGTCGTCACATTCCTGTCCAATCCCTAATTTTACTACTTTCCCAAAGCTTCATATTGCTCTAAGTACTCGATTTCCGAATTTTTTTTCGCCACCTTTGCCCTATGCTACAATATCACTTCCATTATTTCTCTTAACCCCAAAATGATAGTGAAATCAGCCTTCGAAAAGTAAAAGGTACAACTCAAGAAATCTGAAGAAAAATGTCGAGTTTCATCCAGAGTCGGATTCGGACTCTGCTTCGATATATATCAATGTTCACGCCGTAAGGGGGTTCAGGGTCATAAGGGGTAAGGGAATCGTATTCTAGACGGATATCCATCAGGGTTTAACGGACCTTCCTTCCCTGTGGGATCCATTAACTGGTAAAAGACTAAACTGTGAGGGCAAAATCACTAACTTATACATCTGCTGGCCACCGTAAAGGCCACATACGCATTCAATAAGCTACAACAATTCTAGATGGAGGTCAAACGAATTAATGCCGCTATTGTCATTAAATCGAGGGCCCACCCTTCAAAATCTCGATGAACCGAAATGAAGCAATCATTGGCACGGCGATAATTGGATTACCGCACTCAGCTAGCTGAGCGAGTGCTTCTTACATTTTCGAGCTGTTAAAATTAATTTTTAATCTTTTGGTCACGAAGAGACGCAAAAAAGTCCGACTGCTTACGATTTTATTTAAATTCACAAACACTTTTCTCCTTGATGCGGCGACGCCTCTGATACGACTCCAACGGCTGTCATTGTATTTTAATCAGACTCGCTTTTTGGCTATCAATAAAATCACTCGTTAATATGTATGCATACTAATATGGGCATCATAAAGGGGGAGGGGGAAAGGGCAGAGAAGTTGAATGGGAGCATTTGAAAGATTAAGCAGCCATGAGACATCGAATCCCTACTATAGAATGCTCATGAGACTTTCTCCTTTTCTTTTCAGGAATTTAGTTCTCCTCTATCTGCCAAGATATTTTTCCAGAAAATTGTTTATCCTACCTTCAAAGCCTTGTGTTGCCTAATCGCAGAATACAATTTCAAAAACAAATCGTCCTTCTGCGCTAATCTGCTCGGTTCTGGGAGCTGGAGGAAGAGGAACAGGGATCAGATGGAGTAGCTGGAACAGTACAGCAGTACACCGCAAATCTCTTCAGTACCATGTCAGTGTGTTTCATACTGCATAACTGTGGATCATTCAGACCAAAAAATCGAGCTGGCCTCCTTCCACATTGCTATAAGCTCATTTCCTGTTGGGTCCTCCTTCTTATCCCACACGGCTTCCTAACTGCTTTCATTTCACGATGAAATAGCGCTCAATGTACTAACTCGATTTCACGACTGAGCGTCGAGTTCGGGCACATGTCGTCCCCTAATGTTGCTCCACATTTTTTGGAAATACAAGGATCCTCACTATAGACACAGCTGTAGATACATAAGTAAGTTGGATCAAGAGTCTGCCCAAGCACAAATAAGAATGACAAAAGAGAATATCAATATCACACAACTAATCACCTTATTATATTCTATTTATTCTTGTCACGAGTACAGATTTTCTAACCATAATGTCAACAAAGTAAAACTAATAATGCCAGTAATGACGTTGTGCCGAAAACTTGTTGACGTCATCTGCGTCTCAGCTGACTCAGGTGAAGCAGAAGCTGACGTAGGTTCCGCTAGCCGTCGTAGCCGGAAGGAAGCGTGGACCGGAATGGGTGGCGACAAGTCGTCATCAGACGGTGACATGTCGTCACCCACGGCTGGAACTCGTCGTGGGCGACTACGACACGGTACTTGGGCACAATCAGCGCACACGTGCAGGTTGCAGAAGATATTCACCTCGTTACTGAAAAAGTTGAAGACTTTATGAAATCGATTGCGATCGGTTATTGATTGGCAGTGATTCGTTGAGGAGGACATATTGGGACATGGCGTCCGAATCCGATAATAAGGTCAGGCACTCTTGAAAGATGGCGAATCAGAAAGCCCGCTACCGTACTGTCTGCTTCTTAGATAAGTAATGATTAGTTGATTTCACTATTGTCCGAGGGATTACCGGGGTTGCGGCTGTTGACGTTGATATGGTGAATTCAAACAATCAATACGTATACAATATATAATTGTAGCGCACGCATCGCAACCGCACGCTTCCCTCTCTCTCCACCTACTTCTATATGAGTTATGTTAGCTAGTTGAACATGGCCGTGAACTACAGAGACACCCGTAAACTGGATCGTAACTATATTGCCGTTACTGGAAAGAGACGAGAACAAAGGGATGATTCATTTACTCTACTGATACAGTTAGATGAATCATATCGTTAAAGGGCTAGTAAACATCCGGAACTAGTTTTGTGCAAACAATGGGTGGGTATGATTTACTCTGGTAGTTTCGAGAATGAATCAAAAAGAGTAAGCCCGTTCCCGTCGAAGCCTCAAAAAGAATTGGGATTGCGATGGAAGCTTTCATAACCAGGGAGTGTAAGCCGTGAAATAGCAATACTATAAGGTGCCTTCGCGCTAAAATGATTTGTCGTTTCGATAGATTAGTCTGAGGTGATAGATAGTGGTAAGCGTGTGTAATTGGTAATGAGTTCGCAAGA